TTCCTGTATTGAATACTGGCCTGGACGTGATGTTCATTTGTATTATTTGATTTTTATTCCTGTATCGAATACTGGCCTGGATGTGATGTTCTTATAGGCCCCTTCCAACTTTACTATTCTGAACTGCAGAGCTGGAAGGGACTCTATAGATCAAGTTCAGAACCCTTTCAAGAACGAACAGTGGGGAACTGAACTCCCAACCTCTAGCTTCAGTCATTCTGAAAAATAAGGAACTGTGTATTCAATCAGGCTTTACATTCACATAAAAGCAACGAAATCACAAACCCAAACTGTAACAAAAAGAGGAGCTGCTAAGAGCACTTGGCTCAGAATTCACGTTTTGCCTACATGCACACATAACAGTAAGGTGACAGGAGGGAGGATCCACATATTTTTCCAATTGTTAGAATTAAACTAGTTCAAATTAGGTGGGCTTTTTCCAATTGTTAGAATTAAACTAGTTCTAATTAGGTGGGCCCCCTTCACGGATTGCTGCCTTGTCGTGGCGAAGGGGCTTGAGTAATTCAGAGAAGCTATAGGCTAAGCTGTGCAGGGACACCCAAGATGGACAGGTCATAGTGGAGGCTCTTGAGAGGCCCCTGGACTGCAAGGAGAACAAACCTATCCATTTCAAAGGAAATCAACCCAGAGTGCTCACTGGAAGGACAGATCCTGAAGCTGAGGCTCCAATACTTTGGCCATCTCATGAGAAGAGAACACTCCCTGGAAAAGACCCTGATGTTGGGAAAGTGTGAAGGCAAGAGGAGAAGGGAACGACAGAGGACAAGATGGATGGACAATGTCATTGAAGCTACCAACATGAATTTGACCCAGCTCTCGGAGGCAGTGGAAGACAGGAGGGCCGACGAAGAGTCGGACATGACTTAATGACTAAACAACAACAAATTAGGTGCTCAAATAAAGAAAAAAGACATGACTTAATGACTAAACAAAAACAAATTAGGTGTGCAAATAAAGAAAAACCTATATCAATACCGGAGTGTGAAAACTATGTTTATTTAATATAACATAAAGTTTCCCCTTCCTAAAAATTCACTGTCAAAACTAGACATGTATGGCTTCTCTGGAATTAAAATTCACACTGGGAGTGGTCTTATTTGCTCTTTGTTTAATTAACCTCTAGATTACGTGTACTAACTCACTGCATTTTATATTTCATCGTTTTGCCAGATGTAACTGATGTGGGAATGTTTCTAAGCCCTCTTCCAGTAGACTATTCTCAGTCTACTGCAAAACAATTCACTCTGGCCTCATCTATATCCAGAAGAAATAAAATAGAGCATTCAAATAAATGTGAATACAACTTACTTTAAAGATGGAGGAAGTGCTGTGAATTTCAATGAGGTGGAAATAAGGAGGCTGGATAAAAATTCCAATAATGGGCTCGCTATTCTGTTTGCCAGGACATGGAAATTTAGGGTTTTATTTGTTCCATTTCCACCTTATTCATGTACTAGTAAGTTGAAGTCCTTGTCTCCTGGTTGCTGTGTGCCTCCTCTCATTCCTCCCCCACAATAATTAAGAAGGTAATGGCAGGCAGAGTGTGATCATAACAAAATAACCGCCAAAAGCTTGAAAAACAGATGGGCCCCAAACCTCTACTACATTCCAGAGAAGATAAAAGCAGAACTCTTTGATTCGCATGTTTGGATTCCAGGCTATCCTAGCAGAGTGAATCTGTAATCCACCTACGAGTACAGATAGGAAAGCAAATTTCTAAGGTAAGACTCTCAACCAAGCAGCCTCAATATCTGAGAAAAACAGAGTGAACCTAAGTACTTACTTATCACCCTAAAGCTACCCCTCTCAACACACACCCACACAATTTTTCTACATAATAGAATTAGCTGAAGCTACTTCTGTCACATTTGCTTTATCAAATGCACAAGGGCTAACTCATCCAAATTATTTTACACAGATTACATGTGTCTTGTCTTGTAATCTTCCCTTGGCTCAGAGTTCACAGCCTGCATTTCCAGTCTTTGCAAAGCCTTTGATGGCCAGTTACTGTACAGCTAATTAATTTGCTCTAAATAAAGACTACACAAGAATTTATTTTCAGGCAGAACCAGTTTTGAACTTAGAGGCATCACTCCTCAATTCACACAGTTACAGTCAGTATTATTTGGCACAAGCTATATTAAGTGTTCTGGAAATGCAGACTCTAGGTTCAAGACAGATTGTGAACAGCAACATACAGTAGTTTATAACCATACTTATTTGCTTCCAAATAGTTGCTATGTGGGGTGCTTTATTCTCCAGGCCCTTTTTTTGAAGAATGCACATGGAAGGGGGAAGGAGAATGGCTGTGCTATAGCAGGATATATTGGGAAAATTATACAGTGGCAATCAGACAGATAACAATCCAGAGAATATGAGAATTGTTTGCTGATACTTTTTTTCACCTATTGAAAGAAGAATCTGTAGAACTGAGGCAGAAACCTTTTAAAGCAAAAGCCAAGAGTATTAAGAATCCACCACACGTAAGTGATGTTACATTTTATCTGAAATTCTGTGTGCAGAGAGCAGATTAAAGTGTAGTAAATGACAGAATTTCCTCCACTCTTTCTACAAGTATTCAAAGAACAGAGCCGTGGCTCTAATCAATGTGCTACAAAATGTTGCACACAGATGCAACATCATGTTGTTCAATCCAGAGCTTTTTTAAAAACAAAACAAAACATAACAACTCAACATGGATTAACACTGGTCTGTGAAGACAGCTCCTATAAGTGCTGGTCAAATTAGTAGAAGTCCACCATGACAGTGCAAACTGATAAAGCATATTAAATCTCAGCCTCCAGTTAAACAGCAGACAAAAGGACCAAACACAGCTGAGTGATGAGAATGCAACCTGAATGGGGATATTTTCCCACATCTTTAAGGACAACTCTTATCTAGAATAAATCAAGGTGGCAATCATATATTACTGTAAAACCAACGTAACAGTGGTCCTTCTTCATCATTTTAAAAGGATCCTAGCAACAGTTTTCGAGAGCTGGATAGCTGGGTTGTTCAAACTGAAAAACCAGTGTAAAAGATAGAGTGGAAGGCCCATAATAGGGATGGTGAAAACTGGATCACGGATGTAATGATTATGCTGTGCTGCAATAGGCAATCTGTGTACATCTACCGACAAGCACTTTATTCTCTGTAATTAATAACTGTGTTGCTGTTCTGGAGCTGATTACTTCTCCTAAATCTGTTCTGAAAAACCACGTCAACTTTAATTACCCTGCAAGGTCAGCAGTGAGGGGAAGATAAGGCAACCCCTCATTTCTCCAACCAAGAGCAACCTTGCTGCACAGGAAAATGTGAAGCCAATTTTTGCACAATTGCATGTACTAAATTAAGCAAATATTGCTGGCAAAGGGAGGGAGAGACAATTCGGGGAGAAAGAAAAGTTGAGTGAATCCTGGGGAAACTGGGGACTAGGGAAGCTTATGATGTCAGGCAAGATTCTGGCAAATAAGTGGCCAGTCAAGCATCAAACAAAACCAATTGAATAAACCAAATGCTGCAGAAAAGGAGAGCAGTGATTATACTAATATAAACATTGATATTAATGTCAGTGAGCAGGGTGGTCATACAGTGGTGAGCCAAAAGCTCATTTTGACTAACATGTCAGAAGTGCTTTAGTGTCAGCCTGTTGGCCCTTGTATTAAGAATATAAAAAGAACCTTGCCGGATCAGATCGGAGATCCATCTAGTCCAACATCTTGTTCCCTACACTGGCCAGATGGATGCCTTCGGTAACCCTACAAGCAGTATAGGAGAGCAACAGCCTACTCTTCAAGTTCCTCTCCTGCAACTGGCATAAGGCTTCCCCTTTAAGTTGGGCAACTTGTGGATAATGTTGGGAGGCAATTCTTAGCATTCATCCTCACTGCCTAGGGCTGGCGGAAGTTGCAGGCCAGTAAAATATGGGGATCCACAATCTGCCCATCCCTGAATGCAAATCACCATTCATCTTAAGTGCCATGAAGATGGACCCTCCATTGTGCCTTTAATGTTCAGGTATTTTCCATTCAGGCATTTCCTTCCTTGGGACTGCGCCTGATGATCCATGAGCTCATTCCAGCTCTATAATTCCATAATTCTATGTGGAAGCCCATGTGGATAGTGACCCAGAACTAAGGCTATCTTCCACAGTCATAGTCATTGTTCCTTCTAGATTACATATCCAGAGAGCATGGATACAGAATCAGAATGTACAGATTCTATTTTCAAAGAAAGGGGGTCTTGTCAGTGGGGGCCCAAGATGAAGAACCCAGCATCAGAGGGGCTCAGCAATCTGGGGCTTCCCAGGAGAGCCTTTCTGACAGGACTAACAAAAATTCACAAGCAGAGTTCTGAGATTTCATATATCAATCTCACTGGCTTGGATCAATTTTCATCAAAAGCAGTCATACATATCAACAAGAAGAAAGATAAACAAACATCCAGTTGTGGTAGCACCAGCACAGTTATTTCACTCTGAAGTTCCTTAGTCAGAATCTTTGGAAAATAAGCAGAAAAGCAAACAAACCACTAAGCTTCAAAGCATCACAATTTTGAATGTGCCTTCTTGAGCAGTTAGTAAATCTGTGTTTGGAGGGGAACTAGAGCCAGTGAAACAATCTTAAAGTGTGATCACAAGGGGAAACAGATCACATTTTGGACTGCTTGTGGAGGGATCCAGTGTGATCTATTTCCCAATAGGCTCCTGCCTGGGCCCAATCCATGCCCTCCACGTGGACCTCTTAGGGCTGCAGGGCTTCTGCTCTTGGGGACTGGCAGGAGTGATTTCCCCAACAGATGGAAGGGTCACTTTAAGGGAGATCACCACCACAACAGGACAAAAGAGTGTGGGGACCCGTATGGCAAAACTGCAGACAAGTCTCACTTCCCAAAAGGCACAAATTCACAGAACTAATAAAAACAGTGAATCGGATGATAAAATGTTAGCCAAGCAGACAGACATACAGACATGACCACACCTCCATTTCCTTCAGCACAGGATGGTCTTCTATTCCAGGGAAGAGAACTCTCATGGCATAGGTGCGATAATCCAAAAAGGGGATGCCAGCCCCATCCAGGTCATTGGTCAGCTCATGGATATCGGTCTGTAGCTCGGCAAAGGCTGGGAACGAAAGAGCAGATTAAGCAAGAAACCTAGAAATGCAAGTTCCCAAACTAAACTCTAACAATAACCCTGGACTAACCCCACTTAATTGTTCTTATTAACTAATGCCTCCCGCCTGCCTTAATAATACAGTACTTCCAATGTTATTTACGAACTTGTGTCAATCACATCCGCATTAAATCAGCAGCTTTCCGAGCTACCACATAAAAAGAAAACTAACAAAGAGAATGAAGGGGTTACAAGTAATTTGGAATTATATAGCAAGAACAGATAAAAGGTAAGAGAAGGTCTAAGTCACAGAAGTTAAACTGAAAGAGAGCTCTCAAGTCTCATCTAGTTCAATCCCTGATATCAACATATAGATGGGCAGGCAGGTGTGAAGCCTAAAGGCCAGTTCTTTGGTACTGAACTACCTTTCAAGCTGTGTATAAAAAAGGATATGGAGAATGACAAAACACAGGCAGATTGTCTTAATTTAAAAAAAACAAAACAGATCTAAAAATATTTAAATATATCATTTTAAAAACTAAAAGAAAAACAGTGGCTGTTTTTTTTTAGGGGGGGGACAGACAGTTTGAAGCCACAAGAATGTCCTCACTGGATTCTGATTTCCTGTCTTGCAGATGCAACAACCACTTCAAGATCTGGGGCTGGACTGGGTTGGGAAGAGGGAAGGAGGCAAAGAAATGACATCCTGTACCTTTAATGGTATCTACAAGGGGAAGCAGGTTGTTTGTGTACAAGTTCTCCTGCTGTACAAGCGTGGTGGGGAGATGAAGAGGGGGAAATCAAATTAATGGCACTTTAAAAGGAAGCTAGAAGGAGCAGAGGGCTATAGGCTGATCAGTTTGATGAGAAAAAACAAACCGTCAGCTTGAAAGGCACACTATCTTATCTGTAACTAGTGGGACTAGCAAAGAGAAAAGGCAGAGAAGATATTGCGGCTTTTAATTAAAAGCAGATCCTTTTATCTGCCAGCTGTGGAAGACAAGGCAAAATCCCCTCCATGCATTCCCTCCGCCCTTCTCCAATCTTCTCTGTCACTATTTCTATCTATAGGGCTATTTTTTTCCCCACATTTCCCTCATTTTTATTATCTCATTTTAGGTGCCCGCTTCTGTCACAGCCTCTGGGCCAAGTTGGAGTTGGCAGGGTCACAGCCCCAGGCACTGGCTTGTGGCGATAATGGGCAATTAGGTTTTATCAGCAGGATTAGAAGCAGCATTCTGTCCAATTTCTCAGCATCTGTCTGTCACATAATGAGAGGCACAGCCTTTTGCAAGCCCGCTGCTCGCTTGAGAACTTTTCCTCTTAAAACCTCACAAAGTTCCTTCCAACTGTACCCAATAAAATTCAACCACTTCCCATAAAACGCCTTCACCTGGCCGCAATCTCTCCCCAAAGGATAACCCACAAAATAGGAACAAGGCTTTCAGAAACACTGAGGGGCTGCAATCACAGAGCACTCCAAATGCAGTAATCAGCTCTGTATTTCTGCTTAAATCTAAATTACCCAAGCTGGAAGAAACAAAAAACTATCGATCGTGCAATGGGCAATTGCTTATTGTATGATGATGCCACCTAACTATGCTTACCCTTGGATACGACAACCCTGGCTGGCTGAAGACATTTTGCTGCCAGAGGCAAGGACAAGAGAACACCCCAGTCCCTGTTCCACCCATAGAAGCTGACTGGTTTGCCAGTTCACTCTTGCTTTAACACAAATGACAGGATAGCACCTAGTGTTACATCAAGGGGGAGCAGACTAGCTGAGTGGGCTGAGGACCGGCTGCATGGAAAACAAAAGCTGACCTCTGAACACCTTGCCACTGCCCCTGTGCCCCAACATCTGCCACCATTAGGGAGTTACCTAAATGGGAAGATTGGTCCTCTAAGGATCCCACTGACCTACATTCACTTTGATAGGATACTTCATTCTCCTAGAATTGGGTTGCGGAATTAACACAGAATTCACGAAGAGTCGGACACAACGACTAAACAACAACAACTGTAGATCTATTGGGTATGTTATCTATGACACTGTCACTTGGAGAGGTATATTTCATGCCCCAAAGCTGCAATCACTGCCTGTCCCCCCCTTTTTTTTAATAGACAAAAAGTAGCTGTGAGGAATACCATCCTAACCAATCTACTGCTTTTTGCCACTGCCATACATTGTTGCCCTACCCACTGTAATATATAAGAAGAAGAAGTCCCATGCCATCTTCAGGCAAACCATTATGTTGAGATGCAGAAATGACATTGTACTGTTAGTACATTGGCCTCAAACAGTATAAATGCCAGAATTCTCATTATGTTCAGAAAATACAAGACTGTGTATTTAACCACAACTCTAATTTCAACCCTATACTAAATTTTCATGGGATCAGAAAATATCTTAGAACTTGTTTAATCCAGGTATTGTTGAGTTTTTTAAACTGAGAGTTAACACTTCTGAAATCAGCAATGGTCAGAATCTAGTACTATTGGTAATTATAACATTGTCATTTCCCTTTTTCCTCCAAGCAACTCGAGCTAATGTACAGGCGTTCCCTCCCCACATATCCACAGAGTCGGTATCCACAGTTGCCACTGCTGCAACCCAGTTCCTATCTGCACTTGCTGCCTCCTCTTTGTCATCTTCTTCCTCTCATTCTCACCCATTGCCTTTAATGGGTTCCCTCATATCTGCAATCTCAGGTATCTGTGATTGATCCTGGAATGGATCACCATGGATATGGGGGGACTACTGTAAAATGTTATTATGCTTTCATAAAATGAGTATTAATTTTTGAGAATATAGTAGTTACAAAACGTACATGTATCTTATGTTCACCAATGGCCCTAGGAAATACATTAGGCTGAGAGACAGTGACTGACCTAGTGCCATCCAGTGAACTTGGAGGCTAGGCCTGAGCTTGGATATGGTCCTCTTCTGATTTGTTGACTCAGAGGCAGAGAACCTGAGATCTCTCACCTTGTTGAACTTCAGCTCCCATCAGTCCTACTCCAGTGTAGCCAGCTGTCAGGCAGGATCAGAATTCAAAGGCCAACATGGATCTTTACACTATAATGACCACAGAAGGCCACATGCTCAGGTAATGTATCAGGATAGAAAAGGAAGTATGGACTAAAATGTACAAGTCAACAATTTTTCCATAGCATCTTGATTGAGAACGGTGAGTAGGTGGGTTTCTCCCCCCCCCCCCCCGTTTTTGGTTAATGATATAGAGCACAGTTTTGCCCATGAAACAGCAAGAAAAAGGAAGTGTCTTTTTCTATATTTGCTTCAACTATGTGGGAGGTTGGTGGAAAACACACACACACACCTGTTGCTTTTTGTCCAGAAGAATACTATGTGGGGGCTGCATCAGCTTCAATTTGCTGCTATACTGATCGTTCCAACTATATTTTACTATTTTTCCACACTTATATCTCAATTGTCCAAACAACAGAGGAAAACGGCTCCCTTGGTTCCCAACTGGTCTACCATCCAGACAGCTTACAGGGCATACATGCGTAGCTTCAAAATCAGAAATGATCTATATAATACCAGACTGTTGTCTCTATATAGAGCATTCAACAAGAAGGTTGAAATCCATGTGCTGTTTCACAGTCAGTACCAGCTGAGGTTATATTGCACTGGCAAGGAGAAATTTCATCCCACTGGACTGATCCCTATGGCAAGGATTTTCAAATGCAATGCCCCTTCCTATAAGGAAATGAGTTTTTGTGAGCTTTCTAAACATATAAATCAGAGAAACCAAACTGGATGGGATCTGCTGCTGTAAAAGGATGTAATGGAAAAGCTAAGCTACCTCTAATGGCAGTAGATCCTGTCTTTAAATGTAAGGTGGTTTATTTTGCATTTTTAACAGTAACAGGGTGCATGGTTTGGAGAACACTGGACAAAGTTCCAACAGCGTTTTACTACCCCCTCGTCTGTCCCCTTCCTGCCCCCACCCCTGCCAATCCTTGCTGCTCTTCTCCTTAGCCAGGCCTACCTCCAAGGACAGCAACTGTAGGATAAGAGATTCCAGGAGAATAAGTGGATTGCTTGGGTTCCGTTCCCCACTTTATGGAACAGACCTGTGTTCTTTAAAAATAGCTGTCCTATCATTGTGCACGGTGTAAGGCTAAGAATGAGCATTTGGAGTGTCCTTTCAGAAAGATACACCAAAGTGACAAAGTAGAGCCTCTGAGATGCAATCCCTGCTTATACCAATGTTTTGCAATGAAGCCAAGAAGCAACTGGAAGACTGCACAAATCATATAAAATGAAGACCCCTGAAATGCCATTGCCATGAGAAGGTACTTCAGAGCTAAATTATCCTTAAATAAAGTTTATTTTAATACATATTTAACTAGCATAGGTTATAGATAGCTCAGTGAGTTGTGCACCTGGCTGTGGAACTAGAGGTCAGGAGTTGAACTCCTTACTGTGCCTCCTGGGAGAACAGGCAGCCTGTGCAGCCTTGGGCAAGCTGCACAGTCCTAGCGCATCACCAAAAGGGGGAACTGGTAAACCATATCTGAGTACTTTACATTCATTCATTCATTCATTCATCAAATTTCTATACCAGACCATCTGGTGGCATGCCACAATTCTGGGTAGTTCCTAACAGAAGCATAATCATACCTTTATATCTAGAAAACCCTGCTGCAAGTTGGAATTAACACAATTATTTATAATGTCTAGTATATAGTCACCTATGAGTTGTAGCCCGAGGGAAAGATTTGACATAAACAGATCACCTGGGAAAGACTCATAAAGATAATAAGGAAAATACTGAACAGACTCACCAATTCTCCCAGAAGGATGACATGCTAGTAGTGCCCATTGTATAACCTACAAAGTCCTTCTTCCTAAATTGTGGCACCACTGCTTTGATTTCTAAAGTAACTGATGTGAACCCATTGTGGGGACCCTCTGTCTAGCCAGGTAGCCTTACCCTGCTTGTAGTGGCTACAGATAAGGTCCCTGCCCACTTTGGGCTATGGCCCCATTCACTGCTGGTGGTGTGGGTATACAGTGATGAGGAAACTGAAACAGGAACAGTTCACAGAACTATGTGACAGACTGCTGTAACTATGAAAAGAATTATATTCCTCCACATAGGGTCACTGGGAATAGGAGGCTTAACACAACTGCAGCCAGGGACTAGGCAGTTTGAAAATACTCACTGCATTCCAGAGATAACATAGTTTACATGCTTTTAGCTTGGAAACTAATTATGCATCTCTCTTTCAGCAAGAGGGACAAACCACCAGAAAAAGGAGAAAGGGAGTTATCTTCCTTTGACTTGTTTTTTTTTTCCACCCCCTGTTCTGGCTGCTTCCAACAGTGTTAAAGAAGTATATCAAATTCATAGCTAGGCAGCCTCTCCCTGGATTTGACTTCAGGACCAGAAATGCACAAATGCCCCAGGAACTTTGCCCCAAGAGCATATCTGTCATTGTTTGGAAATTCCTGCAGTGGAGGAGTATTGCTGTAAGCTAATTCTTTGCTCTGTGTTTATTTTATGCATTCGCTCAATAAATACTGCATATTCTTCCTGGAGCAACCTGGAGTCTTTCAGATTACCCTCAAATCTGACTGATAAGACTCTGAGTGATCAGACATCAGATTTGGGCATATTAAGAAAATGACTGAAATCTGTTATGAAGTCACAACTAGAGTTGGCTCAATGAATCAGCAGGGATTTGGTGAGTCAACACCTATATAAGTGCCATTGGTTCAATAGCCTTACTCTAGCTGTGAAATACGGGATTTCAACCATTGTGTCCACTGGCTCGTTCACTGGGAGCCCTTTCAGTCCTTAATCCAAAAGAGTGTCACGAATTGTGGAGAGAGATTTAGAAACCGGTATAGAAATGAAAGCAAATAAAGAATAAGTTTTCCCCTAAACAGTAGGGTAAAACAGAAAGTTGTCGAGTAGTAGGCTGAATGTATTTGTGGATAGACAGGGAGACAGAAGGATTAGCCTCCTCACCTTCTTTACATTCCAGAGCCACACGGGACTCCAAGTTGTCCATCTGCAGCTGGAGGCGTTTGAGGGTGCGATCTGCATCTCGGGACTTCCGCTTGTAAGCAATAAGGACGATGATGATGATGAGCAACAGAAGGCCACCGCCCCCACCAATGCCAATGATAGCAGGCAATGTCAGCAGGTTGTCCGAGTAAATCTGCAGAGTTCCTGGGGAGAACTCAAAGCCCCCAGCCTTGATCTAGGAGGCACAAGGAGAGAGGGAGATTAGACATGAGCAAACAAGAACACCTTACGACAAAGAAGAGCTTTGCATTTCTATCCAATAATCAGCAATGAGGCAATCTGAAATTGGGGAGCCTTGTGCTTGGATGTTACAAGATTTGAGCAGTGAAACACTAGGATACCAGAACACTTATTGAGAGAAGAGTGATGATCTCAGAGTACTGATAGAGTTTCCTCTTGTTTAAGGTAAATGTGTAAGTGTGTAGGCATAGGTATAGTTTAAGGGCAAGGTTCCCTCTAAGCCAGGCATGCGCACACACATCTCTGCCTTGCTCCGTGCAGCGTTCTTTCTCCTCTGCACAGAGATTGTGTCCAACCCCTTAGGTTTCAGTTGCAATGGAACACTGCATGGGGGAGGAGGAGTCACACGTGCACGTAGGGGCGACGTTGCATGAGAGAGAGGTGGAGCCCCGTCTGAAAATTATGAAAATTAGAGGTACGTTGGTTAAGGGGCATGGCAAGTATAGTTGCTAGGAAGCCAAACCATTTGAACTGAAAAAAATCTGATCTTTGCACAGGAGTCTACAACCTAAGTAACCTCTGAAACAGTCTAACAAATGGTAATTTTAAAATGCTTTCTAACAATTTATACTCAAACCTTTTCTATTCAGAACTGATGCAGGTATCGATTCCGAAATCCAAAATACCAAGTGAGAAGCAGCACATGTTCCCTGACATCATATGGACAGCACCCAGTACAGGTGTGGTTTTGCAGAAAAAGAATGCAAAGATAAAGCAGGGGACAATCCCTGCTTGCTACTCTGCCTAATGTCTCTTATTCTGAAATCTGTCATAGTACAGGCTTTTTTTTTGCACTGGAATGTCACCAAAAGTTTAAACTTTCCTAGCTGGTGGCTTGTGCTACCTGTTGTCATGAGATAAAAGAAGAGCTGCCAACTCCTGAGCTGCAGCAATCATATTGCTAGCAGGAAAAGGACAATTGCCATCTCTGTGATGGCAACTGAATAGAGGCTCACTGCCACTCAGAATACACATTATAATGGTTATTCCAATGTTGCTATCTGTATTCCAAGCATCTTCTAGTTAGTGCTGACTGTGGTGTTTGGAGGAAGCAACGGCATGAGTGGAGAAAGAGAGCATCCCTGCATTGTATGGCTGAGTCTAACACTGCCTGCGCCAAAGTGCTATACAGAAATTAAGACAGGATACAGACACAGGCTGTTACATCGGGGATGCCTGCAAGGAACAGGGACTGAACTTGACATCTCATTCAAACAACATTATAATAACAGATGGGATGCAAAGTGTATTCCCTGATGGATGAGATGCCTAGAGAAAGAGAATGTGTTGGACCCTTTTCAAGTCCTGAAGGCCACATTGAGCAGCAGAGTGAGTCAGGATGGCTGTGCTGCAGCCTAATGAACACCTAATCGTACTTAACACAGGCAGGGACTGACTGAAAGTGGGGAATAAGTGAAAAATCAGCCTTGCTTTAGGGTCTATAGCACAAATTTTCTTAGGAAGTATCCTAAACAGGAGGATTTGCACCAGGCAGGTTGAGTTCACATGATGCAGCTACTTGGCACAGTGCTTGTCCAGGCTACAAGCTGGATCTGCAGCAACCTTGGTAACTTTCCTTGAGGTCCCAGGGTCCATTAGCTCTCACTTCACCTGCAAAATGGCTTCCTCTTGCAGTGCCTCAAGGACAGAGAGCTACAGCAAATGAAAACCATGACTGCATGGCCTCTGGGCATTGTTCCCTTCATTCAATGAAATATGTCTCCCAGATTCTGCTGTCAATTACACTAGGGGTAGGCAGGAGGTAGGCTGGGATCTCCTTGTAGATCTCCAGGTGATTTCTGAAGGACGAGGAAGAGTTTCCAATGATTTTACAAATGGCAAAAAGCTGGATCTTCCCTCCTAAGCAAAGCAGCTAAAATTAAGAATGCTGAAGGCAACCGGCACAAGTATGAAAGGTTGTATGAAAAGATTTGTGCTGACTCTTATTCAGGTAATTAACAAAACACGTATGTTATAGTTTTATGTATGGAACCACACCATTTTTCTCTTGGTTTTCCTATAGACCACAGACTTCTGAGTACAAAATCTTTTTTCAAGGAAGGATGGGGAAAGTAAGAATTCAATAGGGATGCACACATTCTGTCCTCTCTGTAACTTGAACTAGATGGGCAACATATAGTTTGTAGCAGCATCTTTATCGTGACACAGGCTTTCATGGACACCATCCATTTTCATCAGATAAATGAATAAACAGATTTATATTCATGGGCCTGAAATATATGATTAGAAACTATGAGATCCGAGGGAACTGAAAAATACACAGATGATGATAACAACCTTAAAGTGGCCATTAACGAAACAGTAGTTCAGTCATAACACAGATACCCAAGACTAAACAAACACAAAGCAAAAATAACAAACAAACAAAACACAACAGCAGAAGAACACTTTAGTTTGCCAGGACACTATTGTTACTGTGATCCTATTTTTAGGGTCTAAGGGTACACTGACAGTAAGGCTATGAATATACGTAGTGACTGCACTGGACTACAGATAAACGATCCCACTAAATGGAACAGATTACCTATGGAATAGGAGAAACTCTTTGGTTTTGGCTCCTTCAAGCTCTGTGAGCAGGGTGGGTAATAACATGTTCCATGCTTCTTTCTCACTAGTTTCCTCTTAATAATACTTAATAATTTAATTTATTGTCATTGTAAGTATATACATGGTATACCCATACAACAAAATTCACATAGGCACCCAGAGACCAGATAGAACTAAGATATATTTGGCTTCTGAAATGTTGTGAACAATATCCTCACTGACTTACCATTTTGTGTCAACACATGATCTCTCATATCTGTCGCTAACTTCATCATGGCCAGGTGACTGACTCCAACTTGAAACAGCCAAACAATAATTCATCAAGAGGTTCTGCTCCCTCTCCCATGGACTGAATAGAGACAGAGGCTGGAACTGTATTGGTGTTCACTTACAGTTGCATAACTCATTGCAGCTAACTGTAGGTATCTGAAAAGATGCAGGGGAGCATCTTGGATGCACAACCTGGCATGTAACCGGGCACATGGCAGGGTTGGTTCCCGGCTCCTTGCCAACTAGCCATGGCAAGTTACGCACACCCTATGTAAACACCAACAGTATTCTCACCAAACACTTTTTATTTCATTGTCCATTAATTAATTAGCTCACTAAGGAAACGATATTTGCGTTACCACCAAGTACTGCTTTGTTAATGGCTACTTTTAAAGTAATTATTGTTGTCTGTACTTCCTGCATGACCCCCTGACACCATAATTTGGATTCCTCTTTTCACCCCAAGCCACGCATTTGTCTCTCTGCCAACTGAACTAAGCTTTCAAACAACAGACAGAATGGATAGCAGTCGCAGAAGTTGACACAACATTAAAATAAGTCAAACCTTTAAGACGCTACAACATTCTGCTTTTTGTTGCACAGCCTTCGAGACTACCTGGGACTCTTTCAGCAAGGAAAATAACAAAATAGCTAATGCATAACATGAAGTTGTCATAGCAACAGAAAGCACAAACAGGGGCCATGCCTGACTTTCTTTACCGTCACTTTATGCTGTCCTGTGAGATTTGGTGACTCGCAGAGAAGCTGGGTCTCGGAAACTGTAAGGGCACAAGGAGTGTCGCCAATCAACACGGTGTAATTTAGCCGGGAATTACCAGGTGCTGGAGGGAGTAGGTTGCGGCCCTTTAAGAAACAAGTAAGAATCAGACTGTGTTTTTTGGGAAGCTCCCACCCAACACACATAACAATTATATTCTCCTCAATTTTCTTCTTTGGAGAAAGGGGTACCAGTAGCTGAAGCACCAATATCCCAATCCACCTTAGGCAAATAAAAGAGGTCACTCCCAATGATCCCAAACTAACCTTGACTGAATAAGAGTGGGTAGTGAGTTAAGTCAGACACAGGACAGGGAATATTTGCTAATGTCACCCATCTGTCCTGCTTTTGTCATTGTAACATGAAGTCAAAGCCAAGGTTGTTCCAGCACTTCTTTAGAAGATCTTGGCTGAAACACTATCTTACAAAGCCACTCTGTCCATCCAGAACACTATATAACTAGTGCATATCTAGAGGGAAGATTAATCATGCAGTGGTGGAATGGTTGCCCTGAGTAGCTACAGAAATAGGATCGAGAATAGCATTACCTTGAGGATGAGTGGGGAGCTTGGCTTAAGCTCCAGCATACCAGAAGGAAGAGACTCGAATACAGGATCGGGGTAATAGACAAAATTGGTTCTGTTGATAATCAGCAATGTCTGGACATTATCCATAATAAAACCGATCTCATCTGGACGATCACCAAGCTCTGGAGGGCTCCGAAGAGGGTTGTCAATGGAGGGGGCATAGCATACCATGGTGGTATCATTGTAGACTGTGCAGTTCTAAAAAAGAAGAGGCCCGTTCAGTTAGCCAACATTGCCTTCCATGAGATCCATCTGATTTCATAAAGACAGCAAAGTCAAGTGTAAGCAATTCCTGGAAGTAAGTCTGTACCGTAATTGGACTCCATCTTAAATAGTACTGTGACTCCACAAAAGGGAGGCAAGGACAATGTGAATGAGATGGCGCCAAATTGAGTGCCTTAGGCAAAAGGTCCACACTGAAGGTCCTATGGGAGTTCTCACAGCATTTTAATTACTAGTGTCCTTACTGCTTTGGCCAAACACCATTCAAAATCATGCCCTCTCACTTCTATCATTTTAAAACAGGAGACAAAGATGAAGATATTATATTACTTCCAATGGTAGAGACACATCCATATGTCAGGATTACAGTGGACCTATGCTGAAATAAAGTAGATTTAATTGCTTAGGCTCTGTTGGAAGCTATTTTCATTCTGATTATGTTTAAGAGAGCAAATGTTGCTGAAAAAAACTTACATTCAACATTTGTGGAGACATGGATTTATTCTAGGTTAACCATATGCCATCATAGCTGGTTAATTTACCATGTTTTGCTTCATTATTTTAATCTATCTTATTGTTACCCACTGTAAAGAGATGTCTCTCCAGACAACTCCATTTTCCCCTTGTTTGGCCCATACTGTGGACAGGGAGCAGGAGCATGTTAAATAATCTAATTATTCACAGACAGGAGATCCTTTTTGGTTTAAGGATAGAATTCTGATTTAGAAAAAGTCTCAGGGTATATTCTACCCATGAATGGGACTAAAGTCATAGGGCAGAGCCAAAACAAAACAGGTGGGATTAGATGTAAACCTCTCCATTTGTCTCCTGTAGATCAGCCTTCAGGCATGAAAAGCACAACCAGAGTTTATTTCCATGCAAAGACTTCCCAGTCTGCAAATCACATCACCTATACCACAGAAAGCCTTCCAGGGTTAACAAAAAACCTAAGTACATGTTAAATATCCACGTAGCATATATGCTGTTCCTAATATTGTTATTTTTTTTGTAGCTCTGTTTATGTTATTTCTGGAATCTGCAACTCCTTATAATACTGTGTGAAATTTTTGGATATTGTTCCCAAAGCCCTGATGATGATAGGGACCACCGAGGCATTTTTCATCCACAAGTGAGATGTTTTGATTGACAGAGCTCTGTATTTTGTTAATTTTTTTTCCATTTTTTTAGCTTCAGTTCTGGAATCCCTAGGAATTGCAGTATCAATTATCCATATATTTCTTCATTATATTCCTACTATGTCTGGTGGGTTATCAGTTTGTATCCGAAAATCCCACAAGATTTTGACTTTTCTGACATCTCCTCTACCTGATGTTCCCATGGGTTTTGGGAGGCATAATGACCAGTGCACTGATTTTGCCACTCTATTATCTGTTATGGTGACAGAGACAATGACATGAGCAGAAACAAAGCTGACATTTCCATTCCCTCACAAGAGTTTTAACGTACAGCTACTCCTCCTTGTGCAAAAAGGGTGGATTTTGTTTGGCTCTGCAGGATACCGCCAAGATAGGACAAGTGGAGTATTTCCTCTCCCATTTCTCCAGCCAAAGAGGTAGAGATGAGAGAGATCAATGGTTGCCCGTAAGGTGTAGAGTCACTGCCCATTTCCTCAAGTTCTTTTTTAAAAATCTGACATTTTGGCAATACAGTATTTCAAAAATTTGTTGTACCACGTACGAAAGTAAGGTGGGGAGATGTGTATGTATACATTAAACATAGTATCTGTCTTGTTAATTTCAGGTCTCTTAAAACCTGCTGCATTAGTGAGAAGATCAACATTTTCTTACATTCTCTGTCTCAGCGCTGCCATACTTTGCTCGGATCCTGGGTTCTTTGATGGTAGCCAGGTTAGTACCTGTTACAGTCAAGAGTGTTCCACCACTAGGAAACAAACAGAGGAAGGGGTTAGCCAAAGGTGACCATGGAGTGATCGCAGTCAAGATAAACCAATCAAAAGAGCCATTTCTACCTCTACACTTGAGAAATGACATGTCCCATCTCACAGCTAAATGTTTAAGGTATCTGTCCGAAGAGTTCCCCACTGTGCCTCCCTGACAGGGCTAGATTCAATGATCCATAGGGTCCCTTCCAGCTCTGCAGCTGTACAATTATTATAACAATATTCTTTTCTTCAAGCTGGGAGTGGGGGGGGGAGAGCTATTTCAGAGAGCAACTAGTGAAAATAAATAATTCCAATTCTGGGTTCTATCTAACCCCAAGATCCATCAAGACTTCTTACTAATCCAAAGAAAATCTCAGGACTAGCCCAGTTTCTTTCCCAGACAGCTGATTCTGCACCAATGTTCACAAGAACCTAGAGTAAGTGAAACATGGCAGATGCATCTTAGACCAGGAACTGTGATCACTCCTCTACCAGCCATACTTTCCTCCACTGAAGATGTCAACAGAGGCTGGACAGTGTTACTGAGAGCAGAAGTACTTTGAGAGATCTCTGATCCCACAACTTTGTTTTAAAAAAATGACAAAAACCGACAAAGGCCCAGCAAAAGGGGCCTTTTTTCTGTTACCTCCTCATCCATTTACCCCCAAAATTAATTTCCTCCAAGTTCTTTATTTGCTTACATATTTATTTCAAATTGCATGCCTGCAGGCAGAAACTTCTTTTTTAAAAAAGTAAGCTGCCTCATCAGCCTTTCTGGCTCAAAAGTGATATAAAAGTCTTTATACTAGATAAATAAATGTGCATGGGAGACAGCTAAGGAGTGTAAATGGTGCAGTGTTAAAATTCCTGCCCTGCACCAAGGCCCTCTAATTCTTCTGGTCAATGCTTAAACCTTTAAAACAACAGCAACAGTTCCTGATTACAGGTGCCTCCTGACAGCCCACTCTGGCATAAGACACAGGTTTCTCTGTCTATCAAGCAGTGCTGCCCAGAGCTACCTGGACTAACAAATGGTGTAAACCAGTATTGTGCTCCCACTCTGTGTCACATCACTTACAATTCCTATACCAGGGATAGAGAATAAATTGTGAAGTTTGCATTTTAATACAAACAATTTCATACAATTTGTATTTTGTATTAAATTTAATATTGATTTAATACAAATCAATTTTTGCATTTTTGATCAATTTATAGTTTTTTCAAATTCTTTGATACATTCTGGAATAACAAACCCATACAAAATGTACATAACAGCAGAAAATGTCCACAAAAATCATTTTATGAAGGAGAATTGCATGTGTAACATGTATAGTAGAAGAAATATAAGCAAATTTTTGTGCTTTAAAAAAGCCTCATACTGATTCCGAAATGCGATGAAGTGAATTTAATACTGGAAAAACAAGATACTGAGATACCCTCAAAACAGACTGATAGATTTTTATTACATCCCTAACCCTATACCAGTCCATTGAACCAGATGTTAGTTTCCTTCTTACACAAACAAGGCCTTCTTGAACAGCCAAAGTATGCTTTTTTCAAAAAAAATCTACAGTAGAAGAACCCTACATATGGCTACTCAGAAGTAAGTCCCATTGAGTACAATGAGGCTTACTCCTAGGCAAGTGAATGCAGTACTGTAGGCATAATTACATTAATCGTTACATTACATTAAGACTGAGAGAGTCTGACTTTTTCCAACAATTATTCAGAACCTCTGTATGGGCAAAATCCAGCTGCAGAAGTCAGTTTGCTGGGTCCTCTCTGGCCTCTCTTGATCCTAGGCTTTGCCTACATCATTCAGAGCTGTTACTTCAAGTTTACATAGAGGGAGAAAGCTAGCATCAAGCCAAACCCCTATTGCTTTATGAAACACATTGTTAGACATAAGTCTAACAGTGGTGCAAGCATTCACATACCGTATTTTTCGCACTATAAGATGCACTTTCCCCCCACAAAACAGGGGGGTGGAAAGTCTGTGCGTCTTATGGAGCGAAGAAAACAGATTATTTTTTCCTGTTTTCTTCTCCTAAAAATTTGGTGCGTCTTATGGAGAGGTGCGTCTTATGGAGCGAAAAATACAGTATGTCTCACTAAGCTACCATCACTGTTATAAACTGAGCACAAACTGGTGCAGGCAAAGTGGCAATTGCAGAAATTTGCTTTAACTGGCCTAATGCTGGCATTAAGCTCTATTAAGGATTAGACATTCAGAAAGGAACATCAACTAACATTTTTACAACATTTTATTCTCTACTGAAATATGGCAGATACAGTGCTGTTCAACACACTTCACATCCTGGGGGGGAAAAACTAGATCCTCTAGCAAAGTGGTTCCCAAGCATATGGGTTCTACCCTTTGGAGTTGAAGAAAACAAGCTAACTCCATATTCCATGTGACTGCCCTTGACATATTTGAAGATTATACAAACTCTAAGTTTTCTCTTCTTCAAGCTAAACATACACAACCCTGTCAACTGTTCCTAGGGTTTGGTTTTCAGACACTTTACCAGCTTGTCCATATAAACTATGGTACCTGAACTGAATATAGTTCTCCTGGTGAGGTTTAACCAATACAGAATAGAATCGTATGGTTACTTCTCTTGATCTGAGTATTATCCTTCAGTTGATACAGCATAGAGAAATATTAGCTTTTTGTTGTTGCTGTTGTTGCAGTATAACACTGTTGTATTTAGCTTGTGTTCTACTGTGACCCCCAAATCTTTTGCATATCTACCACTGATAATATGTATAACCTTACATCTGTTTGTTCACTCACCTAATCATTTACATTATCAGTAACAGGTTGGGTGTTTTTTTAAATGGTCAGTGGTAATAATATAGTCATTGCAAATTGAAAAGTTTGTATTATAAGCTATGTTTTTACTTCAGTTGTCATTGTCATTCCCTTACAACCATTTAACTTGCCCCCGACTTCATTATCTACAAACTGATGCCTCTCCCACCCCCAAAGATGCACTCCATATATACCTGAAACACTAGGAGCAATTCAATAAGAGAGACTTTTTCCTTAAATTTATTCCTTAGGGTTCACAGACTATTAGTAAAACAGAAAACTTATGCCTAACTATAGCAACACTCCTGAAAAATGGATTTAAGTGCACTGATACAGCAAGAACATTTTCTTTTCCCCCTCCTTGTGGTTTTATTTTGCAGATGAGCTACATTCTCTTCAGATCTACCTGTTGATGCTCCACTCAGGGTCTATCTTTTGAACGGTGGGGTCCTCAGTATAGTAATAGGTCACATCATGACTGCTAAGTACTGCCCGGTTTATATGGATGAGAATGGGTGAATCTCCTGGGTTTTGGCCAGGTGGTGTCCTACATCGGATTTCACCAGCATTTCTCCTATGGGATGGAGGGGGGGATATTGAGAGAAAGAGAGACAGAGAAAATCAATGTCTTTGGTTATAAGGAGAACAGGTATATTTCCTTCTCACTTCTATGCTGTAGCATCCAACACACTGGATGCTCTGCCTGAGCATGTATGCCATGCCATTATGTAAATACATAAATACATGTGTATTTATGTATTTACCTATCTTATCAGAGTAACTAGAATTTGCACCCATTTTGGAAATAGGCATAACCCCCTGACACCCTCTTGTTGCAACTATCAAAGTGCATAAACTGTACCTCTAATTCCCAAAGCTGTTCTGTTATCAGGAAGATTGCACAGATCTAAGCAAGAAAAAAATTAAGCTTTGTTTTCTCCTCAATTGAAGTTGGAGTTGAACTGTGCACAGAAACATCTGAGCAATCAATCACATCAATGCAAACCTCCTAGCAATGAGTTCCGATGTGAAGCAAGTGGGCTAAAGACCCAGATAGGACCTGTTTGGGAAGAATTCACCTTGATCCCTATTAAACTGCTCACAAATAAGGTGACACTTCCTGGTTTGTGCCACCGAATGTCTTGCTGTCTCAGGGAAGTGCTGCTAAAACTATCAGTTAACACAAAAATAATAATAAAACAAAAGCAGCTGTTGAAGCCAGCATCGCTCTGGAGCGTTCCTCATCATGTGGCTGCTGCAAACAGCAGCGATTAAGCTTGATAACCAGTAATTACCACACGAAAATATTTAAAGAGCCGCTCCATTATCATCCCTAATCTAAAAATTATCCTCTTCATGGCTCAGGGATTTGTGCTTTTTAGAGAGAAAGGAAATTCATAGTCTTTGGTATTTTAAACAAAAAAAAAAATATTGAATCTTGCAAATAAATTCTACACTTAGACTGCAGTGTTTGCTTGGCTCTTTAAGACTGATACTGTATTTTAAAATGCAAACACAAACACATGCGTAGGATGTTCACATTACTCCGTGCACTTCAGGACTCCCCCCACCCCTTTTCTATAGTACATCAAAGCAGTTTCACCCACCCCACTGAAACCTCACCATGCAAAGGCACACTGTTGGCCACCAATGGTCACTGCAATGTCACTTCCTGCATTAAGGTGCTTTCCCTTGATGCTAATCCAGGTGCCCCCAGACAGAGGGCCACGTGCTGGTGTCACTTGTGAGAAAGTGGGAGTCTGTAAAAAATGAAAGGTAGTGAGCTATTGCTTCTTTAATTAAATGTCATTTTACAATCCAAAGAACATCATGGAGAAATACAGAGGAGCAAGCCATGGAAACGACCTGTAAGTAGAAAACTGGGAAAATTCCTCCCACTATGTACAGACATTCTTGTGCCTTTCTGTCTATCCCAGTGCCACAATATACAGTATTCTTTGATCCTGCTGGATGCTTCTTAACGAGAAAGAGGCAGGGTAGAAAGACAAGCCCTAGGGTGCCTGTCCATGGTCTTTCCAGATACAAACTATCTCTAAAAATTATCTGGCAAGATCTAAATTAACTTTATGCATTTACATATCATATCAAACAACTGGTTCCCAGACTGGTTTACAATGAAATAAATAAGGAACAAGATAGAGACAGAATAAAATCACACAATACAAAGTGCAACAAGTCTAGCAATTTTAAGGAGTTAACGCTCTTAGTTTTAAAGGACTGGGAAAGCAAACATGGCCTCGCCAGGCGTTGAGAAGGTATATTCCCTGTCATATCTGCTGGCATGGAACAACTCTTGTTGTACACAGATTCCTATTACAGCTGTTCAATAGCCAACCAAGTACTTTGTCTCTGAAAACCAGGCTGCCGAAAATCTCAGTGGGGACAGAAGAATTAGGCTAGCATAGTTGTTAGAGCTATTCACATATTTTCTCATCCCAACACCCTGCCTCCCAAACGGTCAACCACTGTGGGGTTTTTTTTTTGTTCCAACATCATCCATAAAATGCAGAGTTTGTGCAAACACCTTTAACTTTGTATAAAATGCTATTCTTATGTACAAAATACCTTTTTGTTGAAAATCCCTCTAATTTTTCGCAAAAAAAAAAAAAAATCCCATCATGGAAAAAGGGCACAAAACTCCCACTGTCTCATCCAGTAGGAAGAAAACTTTTAATGTTTTTTCCTCAGCTAAGAAAAGTCGGTAGTAAGCAAAATTTTGCATTCTCGTTGGTCAGTGTCAAGTTAGTTCTAGCATTATAAATGTGGGTGTTGTTGCAAAAATGCCTATCTGGAGAAGAACAGTCCCAGATCAGAAGAGAGACGCTCCATCTCTGTGGACTTTTTCTGTGCCAGTAAGTCCTAATTTAGTCCATTCTTAATTAGCACTAATGATTGCATTATTTGGGGGGTGGGTGAGAGTGGGGCTAACAGTCACAGAATCAGGAGGATCAGGAGTTTCCGTAACAGATCGAAATCACAAGAATCCAGAAAAACGTGAGCAGAGAACCAAGCTACTGCCATTCTTCCCCCCCCACCCCCGACTTCCATGGCGGCCTCTGACTTTTCACAAACCTTGCAGCAGGTTTAGAATAAAGGATGGGACACAGTTCATTCTCATCCTTTGGTCTCTTGGAGGTGAAAGATGAACAAGAAAAAAAAAGGGCAGGCTGAGACTTAGGAAGATATGTCTTAAAGGAATAGCTTGCAATATCCTTACCACAAAAGTAAAGCTTTTGGGGGCTACAGCCTTGTAGCTGGGAGAGCAGTCCCTGACACAAACTTCTACAGGGGCCTCTTGGATTTTGCTAGGGCTGGCTTCTCCAATCTCACAGACGATCCTAGGCAAAGCATAGGAGAGGGTCTTGTAATACACATGCAATGCATTAGCCGAACTGCTCTCTACATTGCAGGTCACATCCTTCAGCCCATAAGCTAATATTTCTGCTCCGATTTATAAGAAGGACAAGCACTTCCTTCAACATTGTCATGTCACGGTATTTTGAGGGGCTATTGCTTCTTTAATTAAATGTCATTTTACAATTTCTGGAAGTGATTTTCAGCACATTTCAAATTGGTTTTTGAACAATAGACATATTAAAATTGCAAAATGTTTAAAATATTACAAGTTCTGTAACACTTAACTCAGCAGGAAATCAATTAAAATTTAACAAAGTAAAGAGAAACAAAAAAAGATCCTGCCATTTTCTCTCCTCCTGTAGCAATGTGCATTGATGCAATGCAATGTGCCGCCCATAAATGAAACAGTACTGTATAAACATTCCTATACATTCTTCAGTTAGCATCTTTGAAATCATTTCTATTTGCATATGAAAAGAAAGGCATCCAAATGCTCATAAACCAATTTCTTTTATTATATCTTCTTTTTGATCTTTAAGTTTATACAGAATTTTTTAACTACATTAGCTTCCACAGCGAACACAACAGAACAAAGAAGAGTACACAGAAAGAAACGGAAGCATTTGGTTCCAGCTGTCTGACCAGGACTGATCAGCTACAGATCGTTCCTTCAGGCCTTACCTGAGGAAGCACACGATCCATTCAATACATGCTGCATGGAACGTAAATGTTCATGACAGCTTTGCAAAGATCCTTCTCTCTCTACCCTCACTGCTCCCATCCTTGTATAAAAGGTGTAAAATTTCCCCAAACTAACATTTCTTATTCTGGGATTTCCCTGGTCACTAATGTGCCCCACTCACTATTTCCCAGCAGTGAACTGCAAAGTAAGAGGATTTGTTTTGACAAAAATGTCGTACTGGGTTTGCCTTACACCCTGATGTTTGCCACTGTTTTTTGGAAATAAATGCAGGAGTCAGATAAGGTAATATAGTACGATGAGCTTTTATCTTTCTACAACTACGTAGAACTATATATCTATTGCTCACACCACCGATATTTTTTTCTCCCTTTCTCTGAGAAGCTCAGAGAAATGTCTATACACTCATCATCACACTTAATCGAAGCCCAGATGGTGTCCATGGGAGCATCATCATACTGAATCATCACAACACCCCTTTCAGGCAGGCAACTGTGTGAGCTCATTACTTCTAGGATTACCCAGTAAATTTTATAAATAAACAGGGATTAAAATCTATTATCATCCAGACCTCACGTGATCTTTCCTCAGTAGGAAATCATTTTTCCACAACCCAGTCAACATGTGTTGGCATCAAAGTCTGGACCTTTCTGGTACCTGATGGTTTCAATATTATAGGATAAGATCAATGTCCATTTCCTCTCCTCTAAGAGCGTATAATCTCACTTATCCTATGCGGTAACCAACTAAATCTAGGGCCAAGTATAGTAGCATGACATCTCCTTGAAAGCTAAGTCTGCAGGGCCAAAATATATACAGCCATATTCCATTTCCCCCCCCCCATATACTCCGATGCCCTTTGCCTGTAAGATACTCACTGTTCGGCACTGATATATTCACTCTCAATGGGAATGCATATCACTTTGCCAACCCGTACACCATTACGCACGTCCTCAAACTTCAGACCCAGATTCTCACCAACGATAGTTAAACGAGTACCACCCTGCCGGGGGCCTGTTTCAGGAAACAGCTAGAAAGGAAGAAAGAAAGTCAGACAGTTACTGGATCCACAAGGCAACTGTGTTGTTTTCATCTTTTGTTGGTTAGCACCATGGTACTGGTATACATCATGTAACTTTCATCTTTTGTTGGTTAGCACCATGGTGCTGGTATACATCATGTAACGCACACGCACACGCACACGCACACACACACAAACCAGGATGCAATTTTGAGCAAATTAGTAACTGGACCAAAACTAAAACACTAAGTGCTTAAAATCTGGTCATTTTATCCCCAAACTATCAGAAACGACTGCCATTTCCTAACAGTAGCATAAATTCCGCCTCCCTTTCCTGCTGATCCTTTTCTCTGACCATCACAATATGGCTGTAGAGGTTAGGTACTAATGTATTCCACTTATTTATTTTTTACAAGATGGCCAACCTTCTCTCAAGTGTCAAAGATAGCTAGTGGAATAATGGAGAACTAGGTTATAAAGTACTGCCCCACACTCCTTCCTTCCCACCCATGACAACTGTAGAGAAGACATGTAGGCCAAATGCCCAAGCCAACAGCCTTCTCTGCTTTCTGCAGTGTAGATCAGAGCAAAGTAGAGCAAAAAAATGAAGCCCTGTGCAGCCCTCTTCCTGTGAAATAAGATACACACAAAGCAAATGTCAGAGTATCCAACCCATTTGTGTGGAACAGCCAAAATCCACAGCTAGCTCTGCAAACGTTCAGGCTGGTGCAGAACTTTATGTTAATGAGTCACAAGTAACATAAACTCCAGGAACAATTTAATGATTTAGGTAACAAAGGTGAAACCAAGTTTCATTCAAAAGTAATGTAATGAACAGGGACAAAGTTACTTTTCTAGTGTACCAAGTAATAACTCCAAGTTATTTTTAAGAAGTTAACTTTTATGGATATTTTAGAGGCATTTTGACAGAAATATTTTTAACTTTTATACTATTCTGTTACCAATCCTCAATATACATTTATATATCATCAGTATACCTGTACACTGTATATATGTATAATCAAAAAGGTCATGGAAAGCAATAAAAAAGTGATGCATATTGCAATGAATGACACAACATATTACTCTTCCTGCACTTCAACAAGATAGCGAAGGTTAATCCGGAACCACTGTACTCTTCCTGCACTTCAACAAGGGGAAAATTACTATTTAAAAAGTAACTTTTCAAGCTTTGACTGGTGGATCTAATGTACCAGAGCACAGTAGTTGACACCACTTTACCCTTCACTGCCTCTGGCTCAAATGCAGTACACATAAATATCAGTCTGCCATGAAAATCGAATAACTTTTCTGCCCCAAATGTCTTGCTCATAGGTTTAGCAATAGACCATATTCCATGTTAACACAAAGTGCCATTTGTGACATTTTTGGGCACCCTAATTGCTTATCATCCCTGGCTATTCAAGCACAGACAACAATTTCTTCTTCATGTTGTGTGTTATTGTAAGAATAGTAACACTTCCAGAGCCCTCCCCACCAAGGGGACACCAATTAACCCTTGTAAAGAGGGTCTTCCCTTCCCTTCCAATTCTGGTGTATCCCAGCATACAATGTGTCTGCCAGCACCAGCTGGGAAGGAAGGGGAGCCCCCGCAGAGCATGATATGCCTCATTTGTTAGGATGATTTCCAATAAAGCGGACAGGTGTGGCTTGACATACACCGTTGTGATGACAGATGAGCTGTGCGGCTCAGACCCACCAATGCCACAAACAGGTAATTATGGGCAATTTTACACCACAGTTTGTTGGCCCTGGGTGCGCAACACACACCTGTGAATGATAAAGAGGATTGATGCTCAGGCAGCTAAGGAAACGTCTATGCTGGGTCACTAGAGACCCCAAAGCCAAAGGGCTCTGGGAAAAAGAAACTCACAATTGGCTACCAGCATTGGAATAGCTTAAGTGACTAGTAAACTGAAGTGCAGGTTGCTTATCTGGCCTATCAATGAGACCGCACCATCACTACACACTCTAGTCACAGGATGTGGTGTGTGCAGGCACTCAGGAGCATGCATGAGGTCATGGATTTTCCAGCAGGGCAATAACCAGAAACACATTTCAAAAAGCACTCAGAAATTGTTACAAACAAAGCACTGGAGAATTCTGAAATGGCCAGCAATGAGTCCAGAACTGAATCCCATAGAACACCTATGGAGAGATCTCAAAACAGCAGTTGGGAGAAGGCATCCTTCCAATCTGCCCTGAAGCAGTTTGCAAAAGAAGAGTGGTCCAAAATTCCAGTAGAGAGGTGCAAGAAACTCATTCATGATTACAGAAAGTAATTGATTTCAGTTATTTTTTTCCAAAGGGGGTGCTACCAAATATTAAATTAAGGATGCCAATAATTTTGGCCAGTGCATTTTTGGGTTTCTGTGTGGGATTGCATCAGATGTCACTTTTCTTCTCTTTTTTTGTGTTGTTCCAACACAAACCAAAGAAATGAACATGTGAGTACCAAAACATTTGCAAATGCACTAATTTTCTCAGAGAAGGGTTGCATTTTCTGAATAGCAAGGGTGCCAATATTTTTGACCATGACTGTATATCCACACTGGGAAATGAACAGATATAGCAGCTGAAAAAAAATGAGAACCTTAACACGATTTCCCTACCTAGTTCTGAGCATTTTTCAGGGGAAACAACATATAGAGCACATGACAGTATTTAAAATGCAAGGGAATATTTCTGTAAACTGCACTTATTTTACTTCTGCTGCAGCAGTGCTTTATATGGGAATGCTGTCCACAAAATAAAGACAGAATACCCACTGATTCTGATCAGACAGAGAGCTTACTTTCCTGAATAGCTGTAATTTAAATTTGTGTAAGATTCATCAAGGAAAAGAAAAATCCTGTCAAAGGGATAGTAGAGTAAATAAGGACACTTTCCCTTCAGAACCAAGGGAGGATGCATACATAAAGCACATCTACCTCAACATTTATGACCAAGGGGATTAGGCATTAAGATAAACACCTCGTCCCAAGCTGCAAGGGAGAGTGAGGTCGTTAGTGACTGCCAATTAAGGTATGTCAGGGTTTGTGGGGCCCAAGGTATCCAAAGCCCACAAGCTCTAAACTCCCATTTCTGCTCTCTGATGGGCAGGACATGCCATAAATAACTTATAAGATGACCTAGGGCAACTGCAGGCCAAGCTATGGAATTTATGTAACAGCCAAACTGATCTGAGCTTTGGGGTTGGCTTCTCACCTAAATGCAATCCAATCATTTGTTAAAGTCCTGGATCACAATTTGTTAAGGCAGCAGCTGCAGCAGGCAACCCAACTCATGCTTTCTTAAATTGGGCTCCTCTGGGGTCTTTGGTGAGCTGCGGCCATTTGTTTGGTATTGTTAAATTAGTGTTAAAGGCTGCCGTGGCATGTTAGATTTCCCCTCCATTGCAGCAAAACTGACAGGGGCCACATGTTTGGGGAACAGCAACTCTGGGTTAAAGTCGACACAGCTTGACACACTGTATGGGCAGGTCATAGCTAAACAAGGCACTTGGGAGCCAGAGCTGGCAGAGAAATCTGGCTCTTTTGTGAACCACCTCCCTCTCCACAGGCATGCAGGCTCCCACCCCATCTCCAGCCTTAACAAACAACAGTCCTCTTCTGCTAATTGGTTTCAGAGCACAAACCCTTCAACTCTGCCAAATGAAGTGGACAGACGATCTACCGATGCCCAGAAGATGAGATAATGAATCATCAACTAACTGCCTTGGCCATTTGATCATTTCATTTCAGAACAACCCTTCTGTGTCTCAATGCTTACATTCCAAGTGAGTGCAGGCCACTTAAATGTAGGCTGCAAAGCAAGGAAATTGCAGATGCAGATGCAGGAAGAAGCACTGAAAGAACCCACAGCTGCCTTCGGTATTCTTGCGCAGCAGGCAGCAAAACTTCCGTTTTAGCTGCGAATCTGAGAAGACTCTTTCAAAGGTGAACTACAGCTAAGACCAGTGTGGTGCCACATACTTGTATTTCTCTTTTGTATTTTCTAGCGAGTATCCTAGCATGATGGATTTTTTCCTCCACTTTCTAAACGTGTTGATGACAATACTGTCCACAAAACATTTGGGTCAAATTTTGGAGTGCAGTGTCATGCCAGGATTATATAAGGCAAATCTGGAAGGACTGATCGTTTGTCAACATGGCAAATGCACTGAATGTTGACTCTATTCTTCTGTTCTACATGTGTAAATGAGGAATTTGAAGGTCACACTCACTTAGTATAATATTATTATTGTGAGACAAGCAATGTTACAGAGATAATGACAAAAAAATTTGCACCAATCTATTGAGAGCTATTTAGTTTAATGAGCAAAGCAAATAAATGCTTTTATTAGGACATCCCAGACAAGACACTCTCGCTGACTTTCTCTCAGGTGATCTGGTCTAACTAGAACCCTTAAGGCCGGAGGGATGCTGACACTATAAAGAAAGTCTATTTTCTCTTTCAATCAAGGTTCTTCTGCAAGTCTACTCATTAGCCCTTACTACTTTCAGTAGCAGTACTTCAAGGACGAAGGATATATAATCTCTGTACTATGGCAAAATGTGGAGCTGGATGGCAAAGGTGGATCTGATTGTGGGCTTCAGTAGCATTAATTAACACCACTAAGGCCTGCATGTCCTGTGGTTTATGAGTAAACAGAACTTATCAAATAGATACATGGTCAGAACACCAACTTCCGCTAATGTGGTTGGAACCCTGCCCAACAGACATGTTAACATTGATATATACACTCTTCTTAAATGAAAGTCAGTACAGACAAAGAGGATGGCAGACTACCAGTACCAAAGGAATTAAAAGCAAGGGATGTCACTGATCAAGAATCCTATTGGTCTGAATGTGATGGAAATAAATTCTGAACAGAGAAGTAAACTAGTGTGAAAACAAAACAAGAGCACACTTCTATAGTCTTGCCTCCGCTACTGAAAGCAGACAGAAAGATGTCCTAAAGTATAGTTTCAAGACATAGGTTAAAATCCTAGAGCAGAACAACAGAATCAGTGGGGATTTGATGAGTTGACTCCTCCATAAGTTACACTGATTCAAATGAGTTTCCTCTGGGTGCAACTTACTATGTCAGCAACATCACTGTATACATTTTTTTTTAAAAAAAAAGGTAGCCTACAATAATCACACTGCAAGATACTACAGAACCTCTCACAATCCTCTAACATAGTTCTCCCCTACACAGAAAAGCTTCTCTCTGCCTAACCAGCAGAAGCCTACCTTAATGATCTTGGGATCTGCACAGCGGCTGTTGCCATTGCTGGCATGCATCCAGCTGCTCTCAAAGGCCGGGCAGTGTTGACGCAGGGAACATCGCTTTTCTGACACACACCAGCCACACTCAAAGCGTGGATCTGCCTTGAGGCAGAGTCCACAGCTTTCACGCAGAGCTGAGCACTTGTATAGGTGAGCTGCAAAAGAAAAACACAGATCCTTGCTTACCATCAAAGAGAATTCTGGGTGAGCAGAATTGCTAAACAGAAGTTTGCTTCTTTATGGATAATTTTTGACATTGCTCAGAAAAAACCAACCAACCTTGAGGCATGTTGTACTCTACATGCTTCCCATGCCATGGCCAAAGGATTCTAAAAACTGCAGTCTAGAGAAATAACTTATCTAGACTCTGATGCTTGTCATCTCATCCCAACCTGACAATTATTCACTTCTGTAACAGCCCATTTAGTTACCAGCCTTTATTGTCACGTCTGACCGATACTGAATTTGTTTATGACACAGATGCCTCCTCACCAGAATCTCAGTGTGTACTAAGCTGTGCAATGGTATGTGCTGGTGCAATCGTCATGGATTCCCCAGGTAACTCCAAGGACTGTCCTTCTATTAGAGCAGTGGTCCTCAACCTTTTTGGGACTGCGGACTGGCTGAGCCTCGGAGGAAGGCACTCCCCCCGCAGGTGCGCATGGGTGTGCAGTGCTCTCAGGCACATGCGCGAAGCCGTGGGGGAGCACCTGCCTGCCAGTGAGCGCTCCCCCACCCCTTTGCGCATGCACAGGGACGCCTGCACATCTGCCCGCCCCTTTGCACGGGTGTGTGGACACTCAGGAGCATGCATGAAGGGGTGGGGGAGCACTCATGCTGGTGCTGGCACTTGCGCAAAGCAGCTGTGGGGAGGGGAAGGCGTGCGGGGGGGGCAGGAGGTCTATCTTTGTGGCCCGGTCCAGCTCAGGCCACAGACCGACACAGTTGATGACCTTTGTTTAGAGTACTAAGGGTTTTATTGTAATTATGTTTTATTTTCATGGGAGGGTGCAATGTATTTAATAGTCAGTGGGAAAAACAGGCAGCAGATAGTGTATGAAATCAATTATTCCAAACAGAAACTTCTACACTTTGTTCTGTTTCAATTAAGATTATTTGCTGTGAATGACAAAAGATGTTTTTCACCTGCAGGGTCCATTACTTCCAGTTCTGCCCCCCCCCAACTTGCTGGCACAGAAATGGAATTTAGAAACAGTTTACTCCTGCATGGAACTCTTGCTATATCAGAAGATGCGTCTCCACCCTCTTCAGCTTACCTTGGATGTTTTGGGGATTATCAATGATGAAATTTCCATTCCACACCACAGAAAGGTTCACTGGGAGGTCACTGATGTCATTCCCTTCATAGAAATACTGTCACATAAATAGAGATATGAAAGCAGATAGTCTATTAATCATGTTTAGAGACAAAGGAATAAACAGAAAATGAGAGTCAAAGCAAGGACCAAAGGCATCTGCATTGTTCTGTCTATTAAAAAGCGTGCCCACCTGGATCTGCTGCTGTCAGTGGTGGCACCTTGCCAAAAGCAGGACAAACAGGTCAAACACAAAGCCCCTAATATCCAGGGATATTCCTCTTTCTTAACAATAACAATCATGTGCCAACAAGTCAACTCAGACTTACGGTGACCCTTTCCAGGCAGAAAGCAAAGCAAAGTGTGTTGCTTATATACCTCCCTATAGTGCTTAAAGCACTGACTGGGTGATCTAAAATTCTTTTTAATTAGATAGGCTACACATTCTCCCCACCCCCCCAAGCTGGGTACTCAACTTATTGACCTTGGAAGGATGGAAGGCTGAATCAACCTTGAGATCCAGCTGTCAGATCTGGCTGTCAGATCCACTGGTATTGAACACTGACTGTGAGCAGACTTTAGGCTGCCACACTACAGTTTAACCATTGTACCATGAGGCTCAGTGTACTCAGAAATGATTTCTCATCCCCTTCTGGGGGCATCTTGGGACTGTGTAACTTGTCCCAGGATGCCTCCAGCCACACAGGCTGGCTCTTCTGGGATGCATAGGGAGGAAGTGAAATTCCCAATCTTTGGTTCTGCTGTCAGATACCTAATTCACTGATATATCTAGCCAGCTTCCTCTCTCTTTGAGAAGCATAGTTACTTATCTTTCCAGTTGCTTCCTATAATTCTGTCCGATAGACAGAAGACATTTCAAGAAGGAAAAGATACAAATCTAGGTCTCGGCTAATCCCTCCTAGGTTGCTCACCACAATCTTGCCTATATAGCCAATGTTGAGAGTATGGGTTTAAAAAAATAGAGTGTATCTAAATGCTCTCAACATTGACTCTATAGGCAAGATTGTGGTGAGCAATCCTAGGAGGAATTAACCTAGATCAGTGATGGTGAACTTTTTTGAGCCCAAGTGTCCAAAGTGCAACACAAAATCAACTTTTTTATTTCAAAGTGCCAACACTGCAATTAAAACCTGAATACTGAGGTTTTAGTTTAGAAGAAACAACTGCTCTTGCACTGCAAGGGTTAAATGCTTGTTGTTGTTTTCTATGGGCAGTATTAACAAACAAATACCTACCAGTCCTCCAATCCCCCATTGGGCTAGACTTGTCGTGGTCATCACTGCACCCTGCCGCTGGACCACTGAACCAGCAGAGGGGAGTGCCAAAATCCAGGGTCAGAGGACGGATAAGTATTTCTTGATGTTGACTTATGGCACGCGTGTCATAGGTTCGCCACCGCTGATCTAGACTAACTCCCTGACTCTAGAGGAGAAAAATGTGGGAATTACTATGAGTTTGGATGGACTGATTTGCATTTCCCATGTTGACCACATAACATATTGGGAAATGTGAATCAGCCTGGTGTCCCACACCCCTGGTTGGCAGTTTTTTATTCCCCATCAGAAACTCCTACTTTAAAAAACACAAGTCCTTGAAAAGGACGCTCGATCGAGTACACACACATGCACACAAAGTGGGGCTCTGGCAAAACACCTTCTCCCTTTCCTCATGCCTCATGAGCAACGCACACAAGCAGCACACACGTACAAGGAGCAAGTCCTCTTTCCACTTTCTCCTCCTCCTCCTTTTTATAGGAGTTGGCAACAATCCTGGGAAGTGTGGATTTGATTTAAATCATGATTTCAATTTTTAAAAATGATTTAAATTTTTAAAATCCTTTTAAAAATTTAAGTCGTGATTTAAATCGGATGTAATCTAATTCATTTTTTTAAATCATTGATTTCTATCGATCTTGCATCTTGGGTTTTTTTTTACAGCTTAAGAAATGGAGCTTGTTTCTGAAGGTGAATGCTCTTTTTTTAAAAAAAGCCAACAATATAACTATATATATGAAGAAACTGAAGTTGTAAGCCTTGCATTGTTTGTGAGGCAATCCTTACACAGAACTACAAGCAAACAGTCAAGAAAAAGGAAGGGAAGGGAAGGGAAGGGAAGGGAAGGGAAGGCAAGGGAAGGGAAGGGAAGGGAAGAAAATAAGTAAAAAAGAAGAGATGCTCTCCTGTTTTCTGTGTGGCCACTTAATTTGCACAGAACTGAACTCCTCTGTGTCAGGTGTGAGTGAATGTTACTGAATTCGCATTTCACTCTCTGTGTAGTGAGCACCTTAAGCGATTATCCTCTTCTCTCCATGTAACCAAGTGTAGTACTGCCACTATATTAATATATAATAAAAACTACAACTTATTTAATTGTGGTGAACACTCAGCATGCTGTGCTGCTGCAGGCTTATTTCTCTGATGGGGAAAGAGCATGTTCTGGTGAACAGTATAAATTGAGAAACACGAACTGAGCAACAGTTGGAACCGCCCCTCTCTTCTGCTCTCCAGAGCTGGGAATACTGGATTTTGCCTTTGCTACAGTAGGTGACAGTGTCACTTAAGCGACCAACATGAATTTGACCCAACTCCAGGAGGCAGTGGAAGACAGGAGAGCCTGGCATGCTCTGGTCCATGGGGTTACGAAGAGTCGGACACGACTAAACGACTAAACAACAACACAGTAGGTGAAAGGAGGTTCCTATATAAGAGGTAAAACATAATGAACCAAAGACAGGCCATGTCTCTGGGAGGGTAGGTTTCAGGAAGACACAAATCTGGAATTACATCTCCATTCAACATCATCAGGAGTCCTCACCCATCCTACTTGGAGAAAGATACACCCCATCTACATCCTAAGCCGAACCTCTGGCAGCCTCATCAATATTCCCTCCACAGTGCCTGTGCACATGTGGAGGTTTAATCGATACGAAGACAGGAAGGCAGTCGGAACCTTCCCTGACAGCTAATGACCTCCTTCGGCGAGAGATTCTCTGCTTCTCTCCGAAGAAAATGACAGGCGTGTCAGGAGAGATTAAATGAAAGATTCATGGCTTGCTGGAGTTTGTTAGGGAGCTATGGGCACTTCAAAATCAGCTCTTCCTCTGCCTTGGAACCATTCTCTCCCTTAGTGCTTGCCACTGAGTTGTCTTTACACAGAAAGATGAAGCTCCATGTGCAAAGAGAGATGTTTCCAGTTCCTTTTGCTTCTAGAGGAAGATGAATTCAGCACATGCCCATGTCCTCTTCCTGACATATCTCCAAGCCTCCCCACTCCTCTCCAAATCACATTGCTTCCTTCAATGCCTATTTATGCTTAATTCACTGAAAAGTAGAACATACAAATGGGGGAGGGGGAGGGATGAGAGGGAGTGATTCCTGTGAAGCTTTCAGGTGGAAGTACAAAACTAGTATGTGATACAGAACAGAAAACAAAACACTAGACACAGACAAGCTCCTGAGAGTGGAGAAGCATGTTTCAAATGACACAGCAAATTACACCTTTATAAAATTACATCTTTCCTCATTTTCTAATTTTGACAACCTAAGTTTACATTAGACCTCAGACAGGCAACGGAGACATTCCTGTACAGTATGAACGCCACACAGAGAGAAAGGTATCACAGTGAAATATCCCTACCTATAGAGCGCTTGCTGTACACAATATTCCCCACTCAGTAAAACTGAGCCACCTAAGGTGCTGAGTGTGGCATTTAAAATGTACACAATAATTGTGATGGAGGAAGCAAGCAAAGCGTATCAGCCAGAATTCCCACTCAGGGGCTGATGTATTTATTTAATATATTTTTATGCTTCCTTTTATAAAATTTACCTTGACAGCTTTATACCCTTTTGGAACATGTAATGGGAAAAACTCTTCTTAAAAATGTAACATTACTCTTAAAAAAAATTAAAGAGATGATAACAGGAGAATAAAACCTTTGCTGACTAATGTCATCCACCTTCAAAACAGTGTTCATGCACAAATTACCAGCTTTATTATATCTGTGCTAACTTGGCTGCCCCAGGGCATCGCCTTTCAGGTCAGAATGAGTACCAGTTGAAGTCTTTATTAGAGATTGGCTGTCAAACCTTGACCTCCTTGAATTCTCTCCTACATAAACACATAAACACACTATAGACAGATAGGTGTTGTTATAGATATCCAAATACATGAAAATACAGCTAATGTGAGCTTACATTATTAACATCTATATGTAGTATACAGTCTAAATAAGGACTGCCAGAACCTGAAGACAATGCTTGGATGATGTGGAGTGAACTGGGGGAAGAGAAGAATGTCTGGATGGTCACATGCCACTCCTTTTTAGAGGCATCTCACTAATTTGAGATAGGCTGAACATACCCCAGTAAAAGAATAACCCAGTAAGTCAGGCAAATTTGCATTAAGGAGAAGCACCCACCTCTGGGTAAAGGGGAGGGGCAGCGGAGAAGGATTTAGCTGTGACGAGCAGCGTGGCAGTATAAGTGAAATTGGCATTTTCAATTTGTACTCTGACATGTCTCATTTGGGGCCCTGGCATCTCAGGAAGGCATACAGCCTGCAGCTGTCCGAAACACTTATTTGCATTCCTCTGCCCTGCTCTGTTCCTCTTGGAAATGAGTTCCTCCTGCATGGGGTATGGAGGTAGATTATTTAACCCTTAATATACACTGCCTTGAGGAAAGCAGCTGATGTGTCAGGGAGGGAAACGCACTGCTTCTGCTTCAGATTAGACAGAATTTCCTTCCGTCAAAGAGTCTTCCAGGTGGTAAGAAAGACTGATGGAAATCTGTAGCAATGCGTGATGGGGTCAACAATGGAAAGTTTCAGAATCAAAAATAAACAAGATCAGCGTGTTCTGCAGCAACTGTGGAAGCCACCTAAATTCACAAACACAGTCCAATGTTTATTAGGAATAGTTACTGAATAGGTTTGCTTTGTAAATACTGGCATACACATTTGCCTTAAAAAAAATTAATGTTTGATTTCTACCCTTTCTCCTCCACCCTGCAAGAACATACTTCCCACATTTCATCG